CCCACGCCCACTAAAACAATCTCTCCAACCTACATTGCACCCCCATGAGAGGACCAAATTGAAGGATCATCTCCCGAGAAAATGATAAATATTGGCCTTTGGGGCTTTGGGCCCGCCGATTATGACGAGTTCATCTCCAAAAACAGAGAACTAGAGCATCAACTTCTTCATAAATTCAAAGGGATGAAATGGCTTTATGCCCACAGCTACTACACGGAAGATGAATTTTGGCAACAGTTTGATAAGGAATGGTATGATGATTTGAGAAAGAAATATCATGCCCAGTCACTGCCGAATGTATATGACAAGGTTGCAGTTGATGTCGAAGCCGGAAGGAAAGAAATCAGGGAATCCTGGAGCCACTGGGTGAAATCCAAGCGCCCTCTGGGTGGATTGTGGGGCATATACAAGGCTATTAAGAGTCGCGAGTATATGATTGCGCGTACCTCTGCGTGGAAAAAGTGGTGAGTGTTCACCATTGTATCTCAACGCAGATAGAGCCATTCACTGAGAACTTCTATTTCTTTTCGTTGAAATCAATGTATTATTATTGGATATACAATGGCATAGAATATTGCAGAAAGGTCTCTTAACACTCTTAGAAAACTACAGGGACATTCATTAGTGGTTGAGTGAAAATGTAAAAATAAATAATACCCTCGAAGGGAGATTCAAACACCGACGGATCCAATACTTCTCGAAAGTCAACGCGCACTTGCAAAATGGACAGAGGAACAAAGGCCCCCTAATCGGGAGACGCCGAAGCCAAAAACACACCATACATGAGCAATTCAACACCTTCCAAGAATTGTTGATCAGAGATGCCTTTTCATTGCGTCCGCAAAGTAACAAGGTGGATGTGCCGAACGCTGATATCATCCCCCCATCCAACCTCTGACCAGCAAGCCACTTAAGCCGTCCTGAATGGATAGAGAGCTGCACCGGTCAGAGGGGAGGAGAGTACATTGTTCATATGGTACACGCTAGGCTTTCATCATCTGTGGCAAGAGAGAGACGTTAGTATTTATATATCTGGCATTGGATTCGAGGGATCTAGGGAACTCACTTGTTCAAAACTTGGAAGGATGGAGAAAGAAGAGAAATTAGAAATATGTTCAGATTTTTATGTGGTGTGAAGGCTTGGCAGAATGTTTGCCCGCTTGTCAAACACAAAGCAACAAAATATCAACTGCACTAACTGCTCCGCTAACTTTTGAACATCTACGCATCGTCGAGGTCAATCGGTGCAATTTTGCTTATCTATTTATCCATGTAATCATTCTTGGATTTCAATTTGCCATGCCCGACGTCGTGATGCTTCCTGTTCAGCTTTCTCCACGGCGCCTCCAGCTAGCGGCCATACGTTATCAAAGCTATCTTGAAATATCAAATTATATTCGAGGAATTCGAGCAAATCGCAACTCTCAATGCGTCCGAGGATTTCATGGAGGAAGCTGGCTGTACCAGCGGAGTTCTTCTTGTTTTCCACCTCGCTCTTATCTGGATGTATACAAACAATCCAGTACGAAAACGAAACATCCTGCTCTATGATTATATCTTCCTTATTCCGACTAATTTGATGCTCTATCTGTGTAGTAAACTTTCCTGCCGCCACAACCAATCTCAAATCTCTTATAGAGTGTCCAGTTCCGGGCAAGCAAGTTGTTCTCCATGGATACCTTGGAAAGCGAGTTGATATGGGGAAGAGGATGGCTTTTGTTCGCCTAACAGATCCAACCCTGTCGCAAAATGTTCAAATAATAGCTTTTGCAAAAAATGACTCGTTTGAGAAGCTGAAGTCAATTGAAGCAAATAGCCCGGTGGTCGTTCAAGGGGTAGTCCAACAAAAACAAGCTAGTTCCAAGGAGAAGACAGCCGCAGAGAAAGATGAAGCCAAGACTGATTGTGTAGAGATATCTCTGGAGGACATACATCCTCTTAATGAGTTTCCCAAGGATATAATCATGACCTCTGATACAGTTTTCCCCGCGGAGAAGAGACATTTGCAGATCCGAACTGATAGCAAGCTTCGTCATGCACTGCTATTCCGTGCACGAGCCAGGAATGTCCTGCGAGAGGCATTAGAGGAGTGCCAACTACCATTTGTAGAAATCGAAACACCCCTGCTTTTCAAATCTACCCCTGAAGGGGCAAGAGAATTTTTAGTTCCCACACGAAGGCGTGGGATGGCATACGCACTCCCACAAAGCCCGCAACAATACAAACAAATACTCATGGCTAGCGGCATCCCGAGGTATTACCAATTTGCACGTTGCTTCAGGGATGAGGACCTACGAGCAGATAGACAGCCAGAATTTACGCAGGTACTCAAGCCCGACCCATTTCAGGCTATTGGGTAGCAGTGTCTCTAACTCATTTGAGCAGCTCGATCTAGAAATGTCATTTGCAACGGGAGAAGATGTGATGGCGATAATCGAAGCTGCTGTAAAAAGGCTATGGTCTTCATTGATGTCAGAGCCCTTACCCTCGGGGAGCTTCCCGAGACTGTCCTATGGAGATGCCATGGCCAAATATGGATCAGACAAGCCAGATGTACGAATCGGGATGGAGATCAAGCGGATTGAACACATGATTCCGGTTGACCTCGTTAGTAAAATAAGCCCCCTGCATAATCCCATCGTTGAAGCCATCAAACTCGAAGGAAACGAGAACCCAGAGGAAATGCGTAAATTCCTTAATTCATTCATGGACTCCCCTGAAGCGAGTAGCTTTCATAAAAATCCAGAAGGTGGACCTGGCGCCTTCGTTTACGACTCTCGAAAACCCCTCTCTGGACTTCAGCCGTTTGGGTTCGAAGCGACATGGGTTCTCGAGCAAGAACTGGATCTGAAGGATGGTGATCTACTCATTATCCAAGCTCGCAAAAACGCCCCTTTCTCCGGAGGTTCGACTCCGCTAGGCGATCTTCGCCGGGAAATCCACAAAGCAGCCGTGGGAGCCACCCTCATATCCTCTCCTACAGGCTTCCACTTCCTCTGGGTCAGAGACTTCCCCCTGTTTTCCCCCATCACCGACTCAGAACCAGGCCAAGGAGGCGCTGCCGGAATCGCATCTACGCACCACCCTTTTACTGCACCGCTCCGCAAGTCAGATGTATCCCTTCTTCTCACAGACCCAACGAAGGTAATCGCAGACCACTATGACCTGGTCGTCAATGGCGTCGAACTCGGCGGTGGAAGCCGCCGTATTCACTCTGCAGCTGTCCAGGAATTCATACTTCGCGACATCCTTAAAATGCCCGCGGACAGACTTGCTGACTTCTCGCACTTGCTTGATGCGCTGAGAGCCGGATGCCCCCCACATGCGGGCATTGCGCTTGGTTTCGATAGGCTAGTGGCAGTCATGCTGGGCAAGGACAGTTTGCGGGATGTAATTGCGTTCCCGAAGTCTGGCAAGGGAGAGGATTTGCTGGTGAAGTGTCCGAGTGAAATGACCGAGGAGTCATTGCGGACCTACCATCTTCAGCTGAGGGATGACGTTGTTTGGGGCGAGAATAAGGTTGAATGAGATTTGGAGGAGTTAATTACGATCCGGTTCTTCTGCTCCGGGGGTTGCCTTGTGATATAATTGACATTTTCGTCCTGTTCTTCCTCGCACGGGTTCGATGCGTTTCGTTGCATCATTGAATAGACTTTTTCATGCCAATTTCTTTATTTCAGCAGCCTCTGGGGATAAATGTATTAATAGCTTTAGATACCAGCCCTTATATAGACTACTTCCATCTGTATATTATTCTAATATCATAAGTAGGCATGTGTGCATCAGTGAGCGTATCAGCTACTACCATACGGAGCAAGCTAGCAATCCGATTTAATTAGTCCATGTATCATTATAGTATAATCGTCACAGGATTGACTTTTATTGTTTGTAAATAATTATGTATCCGTATCTCCAATACCTTGAAGAAAAGGAAAAATATCCCACAGCCAAAATGACAACGAAACAGATGCCTAATGCCCATTGCCTTTCGTTACACATTTATTTACATAGCATCCCACCCCGGGTTGTCATCTCAACTCGCAGCCTATCAACTGATTGAAAATTAGGCTAAGCTCGTTTCCCTCGCCTCCCCTACTTTGCCTTTTTGACGTCCGCTTGCGCATTAAGTATCTTATGCCAGTGAATGGTATGAACCCATTTAGCCAATCTTCGCATTGGAAAAGTCCATTTCTACAGTAGCACCAATGTGAGTCGTCAGCAATGTAGAATTCTCCTTGATCAAAGGAAAGAATAAAAAAATTTTTTTTAAAAAAAATAGAAGATATAAATTTAAAAGAAACTCACCTGGATGCTCCTGCTGGAACTTTTTCAATAGCTCCATCTTCTTCTGCTCATCGCTGGTCGGCTTTCCCATCTCCTTTTGTCGTTGATCATACATCATTTTCTCCACCATACTCCTCGTCGCCCCGTCCAAATCTCCAAGCTTTGAATTCTCCGGTGTGATCTTCGATACGTCGATGGGTGGCGCGGATGTGACGATGTGCGGCCACCACTCCATTTGGTTGACTTTATCAAGGTGGATAGAAATTTCTTTGCCGGGCGGTTGAGACGTGGACTCGAGAGTCCATGTCGATTCGTCGACATGGATGGGGTGTGGGAACGTTCCCTGCACCAAGCGAAAGTCAGAAAGATATAGAAAAGGCGTGACGATATTCACATTCATTATAAACATGAACACTGTACTCCATGTCGATACATACATCAATAAACGTTTCCCCGCCTTTAATGCCCACGAATATCTTAGTCTTATTCAACTCAACCCGCAAATCCCGTCCCTCTGATAGTTGCCGCTACTGGAATGGTTACATCAGCGTCTTTAATTGTTTGCGTCCACTTGTACGGCAGTGTGGCTTGTTCTGCGTCTTCTTTTGCCTTGCGCTCGCGCTCTTCACGCTCGCGTGTGGCGATGGCTTCCTTGCTTGGACCTGTCTCGGCGTCCGACATTGCTTCCGGTTGGTGTTGAAGGGTAATAATGTCCGTGGTAAGAGATATATATACTTTTGGTCTCGCACTTGTTGATTTGATTGAGGTGGATGCACTGTACAAATGCCGCTCACAGGGTGTTTACTACAACTCCTGATGCTGTGCCTTGGCGGGGCGGCTTGAAAATTTCCTTGTGCTGCTCAGGAGGAGTGATAAGAATCGAGTACGCCTGTTACCAAAAAATAAAAAATAAAAAAAGTTGTGTTTCACCAGCGTCGCTACGAGAGAGTTTCCTCAGCTGGTTGGTGGGGATGTAGGAGGATAATGTTGGTTGTGTGATTGTTAACTATCTAACCGAGAGCAACACAACCTTTATGTTAGGTGGCACGTGCCTGGGGTAGCCGTAGTAATGCCTAACAGCAGCATCAACTAACAACTGCCAACAACCATCCCCAGCGTATAAACATGCGGGGGCAAGAAAAGAAAACCCTTAAATCAAGCTAAATTTAATCAAATTTTCCCTGTATATCTCTTGCTTTGCTGAAACTAAATTAACCCAAGCAGCTACCCTTTTTATCGGCATCACGGAGTTGTCGAAAATAATACACACAGAACGCTAAAAGGAAGAAGGGAAATATCGAAAAGAGGAAAGCTAAAAACATTATTTACCTCAATCCCATGCTATGTCAAGGAGAAAAACACGAAGTGAAAAAAAAGAAAATATAGGAAAGACATACCCGACAACACGCCATAAAAGCGTAAGGGAGAACGAAGGTACATCCCAAGAAAACGCAAAAGAAAAACCCACCTAATCACACACTCATCCCCCGAAAAAAAGAGAGTTTATGAAACAACTAGCCCCAAGCAAACCTTTTACTAGCATTACTAGATCAAGGGCTCGGCGTGCCTTCTTCATATCTAGGTCCGCCATCATCACCCGCACCGGGCGTAGCTGGAATACCCATTCCCATCGCCGGAGTGGGAGCATCGTACGGCCTCCCACCGCCCATAGAAGACATTGCAGCTGGGGTTGGAGCATCGTACAGCTCACCAGGGCGCTTGCCAGAGTACCCAGAAGCATCCGGCGTCGGCGCATGAATGGCGCCAGGCGTGGGTGCATTGTCTGCCCAACCTCGTGGTGTTGCAGCCGTGGCGCCGGGTGTCGGTGCGCTTCCATAAGGACCAGGCGTTGGTGCGGAATAATCCGCACCAGGAGTAGGGGCATCGTACCCGCCCTTGCTTCCATTACTATGCCCGATGGGAGGAGGAGCTGCGGAGCCCGGTGCCCAGGCAGGTGTACGCGAGCCAGCGCCAGGATGTGCTGGTGTTCGGGAGCCAGCAGCAAATGCATCGAAGCCCGAAGTTGAGGAGCTGCCAAAGCCGGAGCTGGAGTCGTACGGAGTCTTTGTTCCAGAAGTCCAGGCGGGCGTGCGGCCCCCACCATAGGCAGTTCTGCTGGCGTCGTATGGGTTTGAAGTACGGGAACCATCTGCTTTCCATGCTGGAGTGCGGGAACCGCTTGCTGTTGCAGAACCCCAAGCTGGTGCTATGGGATGTGTTAGAGAGTGTCAAGTTATTTATAGTGGAATGGAAATGAATACTCACTGCGTGAGGAAGAAGAACGCCAGGCTGGAGTGCGCGAGGAGTCATTTGCAGCTAGAGGTGTTCGACTACCTGACCAGTCGGGGGGAGCTGCAGAGCTATTGTGAGGGATTCGGCCCCGGCCAACGCCACCACCACCTCTCCCACCGTACCGGGAGAGATCGATCGAAGCACCAGTGATAGGACTACGTGGATGGTCAGCGTTGCACCCAAGTTTAGTGGGAGGGGAAGTAGTTACATACTCTTTTATGGAGAGCATATCCTTGTCCACAGTAATCACCTTGTTTTTCGAATGCAACTCAACCCGTGCCTGAGCATCGGTTGTATCTTTGACGATACCCAACAGACCCTTGAATGGGCCTTTTCGAATCGTTACAGTTTTGCCAATAGTTCGATCCCTACCAAATGACTTGGGAGGTGGCATTCCGCTGCCATTCATTCCATTTTTCTGGATTGCTGGGTTCATTGTCGAAAAATCGGGAGCCGATCGGCTGGCCAGTCTCCCGCCACTGGTCGCTACCGTGGTCACATTCGAAGCTCTCGTAACGATAATGCCCGCGTTGTCGCTGGCATCTTTGTTTTTCAGGAAAAGGAATGAGCGGTGGATGTGAAGAATGGCGCCTGTTCGTTGTTCTCCGGTAACTTCACGGACTGTATCGCCGCACCTTATCTCTGAGCCATTACGATCGGTTGAGACAGCATTGCGACGCTGGGGGATCTTATTCATGACTTGTGACGGCAGTACGTTTCTAACAGATCCATTCTGATCAAGAACTCGCATGGATTCTCGATCTAACTTGATGATACACCCAACAGTAGCTTGACTACAATGACAATTAGTAAAGCAGACTTTAAAAGGGACAAGCGGAATTGGTCTTTTGGGGCGGGGACTTACTCAAGCTGCACGAGATCGTGAACATCATACATGCCAAGTTTCCCGTCAACACCAGCATCCGCAGCCTCTCGAATATCCTTGCTGAACACTGTAATTTCCTGCATACTCATGTCACTGAGCAGCGTAACCCTGTCATCCTTAATGCGAACCACCATGCCCAGCTCGTCACGGAATCGACTGCCGCCAATGACCTTAACATGATCACCTTCTTGGAAGCGCTTCCTAAGGCCCTTGATCGGCACGTCTATCTGCTGTCCTTTGAGTTCGCCTTGCGTGACCTTAACGGAAACAATATCCCCGCGGGTGGATACCGTCTTGCCAACGACACCCTGCTGCTCTCCTTGGAAAACTTCAACAGTATCCCCAGGAAGATATGAGTCTTCAGTGGTCGTATTTTTAAGACTCGCAGCCAAAGCAGCAAGATCAAGATTCGCAGTGCCATCATCGGCGCCTCGGGCGAACTTTGTGACCTCATCGAGCTGTGGGTTGACATTTTTTGTAATCAGATGCTGCACTTTCATGTCTTTGATAAGGAACCCGTCAACGTAATTATCCCCCAAATAATTCCAAGTTTTCCCTCCAAGCCCAGAGGTGGCACTCAGATACTTAGCATGCTTCTTCTTGGCCTCTGCTTCGCTAAAGGGCCGTTGGGGAGGACGAGCAATGGTGCTGCCGACACCTGGTCTCTTCCGTTTCACATCACCATTTGGAGCGCCCATGTCCTCGTTCAAGCCATAGTCCAGACGAGGGACAAGCCTGACAGTGACATCCAGACCGTTCGTCTCCACGTCCTCGAGCTGTGCCAAGTCGCCTTGATACTTGCCCCGTTTGATTCGTACCCAGCCACCAGGAATTAACTCTTCCGATTTGGTAACTCGGAGAAGATCGGGCATTTCCTTCACGGAGATCAATATCATCTTCGACTTAGTATATACATTCGACATATCGTTCAAGGCATCGACGACATCCGCCTGCTTGCGAGCTTCCACATAGATATACCCACTCATCGTTCCGCCCCGTTCAAACGCAGACATGATTCGAATTGGCCTCCTGGAGCCCGGTGGACGGTCCTCGATTCGCTTCATAATATTAAAAACAACCTCCCGCTCCTTGCCGGGGCGGCATTTTACAGCCCATATACTCGGATCGTCAACGCTGGGCAGGAGTAATCGCTTCGGCACAACAACCAGGTCTGCCGCCGTCGCTCGGTTCCGGCCATACCGCTCTTTAAGGGCTTGTGCCTGTTTCTCAGCATCCATTGTGGCCTCCAAATCCCGCTTTCTATCAAGCTCGCGATGTCGCCGATCATCAGTCTCTGCGCCCACGGGCAAAGCGTCGAGATCGTCAGGGTGCTCTGCGACAAATCCATCACCCATTTCCTCCTCATCTTCTTCAGCATCATCCTCTTCATCGACCTCAGCCTCAACCTCAACAAAAGCATTGATTCCTCGCCGTCTTCGTTTCCGTGGCCGCCCCTACAATAGTAATAATTATGATAACGCATCAGTAACCCCCGATTCAACGTCATTTACTTGTATTCCCTTCTTCATTATAACCTGTTTGGTAAGATCAGAGAAGGATCTAATTGAACTTACCGAAACAGCCTGCTCATCCTCATCCTCGTCATCTTCTTCATCCTCCTCTTCTTCCGAACCATCTCCGTCCTCGCCGACACTATGCTCATCTGCATCCCCATAATCGTCTTCCTCTACATTATCACTCTCGCCGGTCTTCTCTTTTCTCCGTGAAGGTTCATCTTCTTCCTGATCTTCCTCATCGCCTACGGCAAACCTATCATCCCTCGCCGCATCATCGAAGGACATTGTCTCACGCTTCTTCGGTCGCTCATCGTCCGAATCCTGGACGGGGGCGGGGTTAAAGTCATCATCCTCCTCTTCGGAACCGAAATCACCATTCAGAAAATTACTGGGACCGTTAGACATTGTGTAGTAGTGTAGTACAAACCCCGATACAACTTTCGATGAAATTTTGCCGCGCGTGTTCTTCCTCTCGCCGCTGGTTTTTGAGGCTGGCTCCGCTACGAGTAGTGGAGACGTAAAATGAGCGTATGCGATTGTGTACGTGTCAGTAATTCTGACCTCAGGACTTCCGTCCACCTGGGAGATACAAACCCCCAAAGCTTTAGCACCTCCTCTGCTTAGGTCTAGCAGGACCAGGGGAGAAAAAGCCGTGATCTCCGCTATGGTAGGGGTTTTTAGTAGCCTTCTGTAGATTGGAATGGAAAAATCGAAAATCGAGTGGCTAGGGAACGTCCTGCTTCAGAAGCGTCTGGCGTGAATGGGAATAGTGAAAGACATACGGATAGAGGTGAAAAGAAGTTCGGGAAGTTTGATGAATGCGCTTGTGGCATTTGCTGGCAGCCGTATGGGGTGCCAAATATGGACTAGCACATTTTATGCTTCACGTGATATCCTGTTCCTTCCAAGGTTCTCAGGAGGCCGAACAACTTCGCAGAGAAAAACGATATTATTATCCAACAGCTACATGTATTGTACACGAGATACTGAGCTAAAATACATGCCTAATCCAAGAAAAACAGCAAGGCTGAAGATTATGCATTCCACCAGAAAAACTCGGCCGCAGAACAACGAGACCAATAACCCAAATTCCAAAAGTTACAGGGGACAAATGCATCCCAAAAATGCCTTCACCTCTAAAAAGAACAAGGAATAACATATATGATTGGCATGCCTGTACGTGAGACAGAAATCGGATAACGAAATACCCAAGAATAAGGCAAAATGAAAAATAAAATCAGAAAAAAAAAAAGAATGTAATACATCGAACAACCTAAAGACTCATCCCAAAGAACTGATGAACCTTCAAACTCTGCCTCATACTAAGGTCCAACATAATCTCCTCACTTCCGCCAGGGATCGCGTATGCGCGCACATCCCGATACAGTCGCTCAATCTTACCCCCTTGACCCCCACGGGTATAACTCAAACCACCAAAAATCTGGCTCGCCTCGCGAGCGCAGAACTCAAAGGTAGTGGTTGATTGCGCCTTTAGGCCCGCAATCGCACCCCCTAGGCGGAAGGCGGCCTCTGTGTCGTCCATGGACTGGCATTGGAAAACGAGATTTTCAAGCCAGTTATGCGAGGCTTCGATATGTCGCGCCATGTGCGCGAGCTTCATGCGGATCACTGGGTGGTCGATCAAGCGCTTGCCGAAGGTTTGTCGCTTGTGGGCATATTTGACAGATTCTTCATAGCAGACGCGCGAGAAGCGGACGCATTGAATTATTATGCCCATGCGTTCGTGGTTGAAGTTCATCATTATTACTAAAGGCGTAGGGGCAGATTAGAATTACGTTCAGAAGAATTGGAATGAAAAATTGAAAATTCTTCTGTGCGGGGCGCGGTTTTCGGTTCCTCTTACCTTTGAAGCCCTGGTTCTCCTTGCCGATCAGGTTCTCAACAGGCACCTTGACATCTTCGAAAGTGACATAAGTAGTACCGCTTGTCGCCATGCCCTGGCAATCCATCTTGCGGGTGCCGACTCCACCGGCGGACCGCTCGATGAGTAGTACGCTAATACCATTCATTCCAGGTTCGCCAGTCCGCACAGCGGTGGTGAAGTAATCCGACCAAATGCCATTGGTAATCCATTTCTTCTCACCGTTGACAATATAATGCTTCCCATCCGGCGTCAGCTTAGCTTCACAAGAAATATTGGAAACATCGCTTCCACAATCCGGTTCGGTAATGGCTAGACAGATACGCTTGTCGCCGGCCAAGATACCAGGAAGGATGCGGTTGACCAATTCTTTCTTCCCGTATTTGATAACAGGTGGGCACCCGATGCCAAAACCACCAATCAGGTTCCAGACGAGACCACCGCTGGCGGCTCGAGAGAGCTCATCGGTGACGATCAATTCATGGAAGAAATCCCAGCTCTCTGGGGGTACACATTTCACATGATTCCTGGACAGTGCCGGGTCATATGCCACACCCATCAACCCCGCCAGATATCCTCTTTCCCCCATTTGCTTGTAGAGATGTTCGGGGACGGTCTTCCCCTCGTCCCATTCATGGCCATTTAGGTCGATCTCGGCCTCCACCCATTCTCGAACCTCCCTCCCATTTGCAGCATGGGTCGCATTATAGTACATGG